GTAAAAATAATTTAGCTCAGGTGCCCATAAACGCTATGGGCATGCATATACATAAATATTGCATTTATAAATTTTGAGAAGCTGAAGACTTTTTCCATGCATTTATAACAGTTTCAGGAGGATAAGGCGTATCCTACTAAAAAAGTAATATTTTTCTGAATCCCTGAAATATACTCATCTAGGGGAAAAAACCCTCCAAATACTATTTTTCACATTTCTTAGAACATTAAAATATTCCAATTTTCACAAAACCGTCACTTTAACCTCAATAAATGTGTAATAGAATTACTTTTTTAAAATAGAAAACATTAAAAAACAACTAATGATATTATTTCAAGTAATCTAGTAAGAAAGGTGTTGTACGTTCTCTGAAACTTGCCTGTGCAAGAAGTTTGAAAGGCAGAGCAAAATATTATATAAAAAAAAATACGTACAGAAGTTCTTATTGTCAAATGGCACACATTAGCCTTTAGAACAGAGGATTTTACGTTTATCCAAAGAAACATAAAGACCTTGTCATACACATTGAGAAGCGTTTCCTGCGAAAAGTCCCTTACTCACCTGATTTTCTTGCTTCCTCTGGGCCGTTCTGATTGGACGGACATGTAGCTTGTGCTGCTGAAACGAGAAGCACTACTAGTCCTGGAAACCGCAGATATATCACTTACATCACTGTCCGAAGATTTAGTGGAAATATTATCTGCCCCTCTATGAGGATCCCATCCTGATCGATACTGTTAACACAGATTGACAAATACGCAGAAGTTGTCAGTATTACCATACAGAGCAATTATTAGCTTCTCCTATTTCAGCACTTTATTATCCACAGAGGATACTGCAAAACCCCCACTCAGTTGCACATAAAAACAAAAGTGAATGGCAATCATCCTAAAAGAAAAATTCAATTTGCGTGAAACCTTTGTTTTTCAGCACAGGCAATTAGAGCATTTTCACCACACCCCAATGAAGGCCGTTAAAATAGTTTCACCACAGCAATGGCCTCAGGGAAGGGCATTTAGGTAAAATCTGGGAAATAAACATTTGGCTTCCTATTAGGAAATAGAATATTTTTATTTCTGAATAAAATTTGAAAAAAAGGTATAATAAAGTTGCCACTGTGACTTATTGAAACCCATTTTTCTCTTTAATCCATTATGCTTCATTGAAAACCTAGAGATAGTACAAAACCTAATGATTAAAACACTAACTTTTTCTAGAAAAGCCAAGAGAAAAGAGAAAGTTTAATGTTTGAAAGATTACTGGAATTTTGATGAATCCTAGAAATACTAGAAAAAAAGTCATTATTATTTACAAAATAGTTCAAACTTCCTGGAATGAAATAATCAGTTATGTGGCACAGCCAGGGTGCAGGGTGTTCTGGGTGTTCAAACATTCTGGTAAACGAAAAGCCATCATAAATGCTTTATGTTAATGATACTGGGATATAAAAAAAATAGTAGATTCTGGAGTCTGGACAACCTGGAGTAAGGACAACCTCTTACTAACTGGGTAAAATTGAGCAAATACTTTAACCTTTAAAACTCTGTTTAAAGTAACTAGTGCCCTGGTGCAGATTCATGCACATTGAAAGGAAATTAATTAGGAGGTGGCCAGCGGGGCAGGACTGGGTGAGATGGGCTGGACCCACTCTAGAGCCAACCTCCCACGGTCCCTCCCCAGCCGGTCGCACCTGGGGCAGCGCTGCAGCTCAAAGGGTATCTACTGAGTGAGCAGGTCTCTGGGACAGGTGGGGTCCCTCGGCCTGGCCTGCGGGGATTGGGCTGAAACTGTCTCTCTGACATCCCCTGAGGGGTCCTGGATTGCGAGAGGGTGACACTCCAAAATCAGGATCCCTCCTCTCTAGTTTTGGGGTGTGTCACCCGAGAACCGCAGCTGCCAAGTCACCGCAGCTTAGGGGCTCCTGCATTGAGCATCTGACCCCTGGTGGTCAGTGTGTGTCATACCTACTGGCTGGTTGGTCAGTTGCTTAGCCTTTTATATATATAGATAGGGATAATATCTTTTTTTTCAGGGTTGTTTTGAAAATTAGAAATACAGTCTATCCTTGAACAACACAAAGGTTAGAAGAGTTGACTCCCAAGCAACTGAAAATCATCATATAACTTTGACTCCTTTAAAACTTAACTACTAATAGCCTACTGTTTACTGGAAGCCTTATTGATTACATAAACAGTCAATCAATACATATTTTGTATGTTAAATGTATTATATACTGTATTTTTACAATAAAGTAAGCTAGAGAAAATAGAATGTTATTAAGAAAGGAAGAAAAAATACATTTACTGTATTTGTTGAAAAAAATCCACATATAAGTGGACCTGAACAGTTCGAATCAGTGTTGTTCAGGGTCAAATGTAATACATGTCTGGTATCTGACATAATGTAAAAAAATTCAGCCAGTATTATTACTGTCCTGATGGCTATTACTGGGTTAAGAGCATATCTGCTAATAAATTTTTCTTGAATTATGTGTACTTCAAACATATACTGAAATATCTGTATCTGTCAATTTTGCCATAGAGATTTTTCTAACCATAGAAAGCGTTCACAAAGCCTTAAAAAAATTAAATATTGAAAAATTTTACTTTAAATGAAAATGTCCTCAGCCATAGTCAGCCATTGCCTAGAACAGCATTTCAATGGGTAGGTCAACATTAACTATCTTAGTGCACACACTCACTCACACACACACACACACACACACTCACACTCACACTCACACACACACACACTCTCACACACACACACACACACACACACTCACACACACACCCTGGGGTGAGAGGGCCAGTGAGCTGCTCAGCCATGTGCGTAGGGTCTGCTCCTTTCCTCAGCCTGAGGGAGGTGTAGGCTTAGGTGTGGGTGCAATTGGACAACTGATGAAATTGATGGGCAGACGTTAGGCTATAACTTCAAAATTCTGGCATAAAATCAGGTCCATTCACACACACACACACACACACACGCACACACACACAGATACACTCACACACACACACACAGACACACACACACACACTCACACACTCACACACACACACTCACACACTCACACACACACAGCACTCACACACACACACACACACAAACACACAGCACTGTATGTATTTGTTTCATCAAATATATTAGCAGTAAATTTGATCTCAAGTTGAGACATAAATGGAAATACTTCATTTTATTTATATATTTTTGGATATTTCATTTATCTGATAAATGAACGTTTTAAGAAAATTTTCGAAACTATTAAACTGTTCAGTGGATACTGTTCTGTGTTTGGGGGGCTTTATTGTTCTTATTCTTGGTATTGATAACAAAAAGAGAAGCCGTCTGATATTATAGCTTTTAAAATATTTTAGCATTGGTTAGATAAGCAGTTTTGGTATTACAATTTTTTTCTTTGCAGTAGGTTTGGTATTATATTTTTTCTTTTGCTTTTGTTCATGGGATTATAATATCATCTAAGTTCAAATGAAAAATCCTAAAGTTTAACTCTAGGAGGTGGTAAGGGTAATATTATAATCACTATGAGCAATTGCTCTGGAATGCGACTGAATCAATGGTCTGAATCCTGGCTACAAAAATTATTAGGTATGTGATAATGGGATAATTATTTCCATGATTCCATTTTTCATCTGTTATAAAGTGAATAACAACCATACCCATTTCCTAGGCTTACTGCAAGGATTAAATAAGATGATGTATGCAAAGCACTTAGAAAAATACCTGACACATAACAAGTGCTTCACACATAACAAATGACGATGATAATGATGATGCTGATGATGAGATAGTAACTTGAACACTGGCTTAGTATCAATTCTAGGAATGTCTTTATCAAAAGAGATATTAGTTAGAAATACCCAACAATAAATATATTACTTTACAGCTGCTCTAAGCTACAATAAAAATACAACTATTTCTACATATATCCAATAGTTTTGTTTCAGAAAATATTTCTATAAGGCTAATTTTAAACATGAAACCAAACTTTCCCACTAACTCCTAGTATGTGGAGGCCTCACCTTCCCCCTCTGACCAGGTTCATCCATATCCCACCACCTTACAGGGAATTGCTCCATTCCCACCTGCACCATGAGGAGTTCTGCCTCAGCAGATATGTAAATATATGACGCTTCTTGGCTGACACAGCTGCTCTGTTTTTCATTTTTCTCTCTGCTGCTTTATCCTGAGATCCAATGCCGCCTGGAAACCTGTGCTCCCATGTCTCCCAACTGGCTCTTTTCCGATTTGTTCGATGGACTAACTGCTACCTTGACTTCCGAATTTCAGTCGTTAGGATCTGACTATGCATATTGTAGCCTTAGTCTTTTTAGGGAGTCATGACTTTTGAACCTGCTGCTATGATCCATGGGTGCATACAGGCTGGCCTCAGAGGGAAGGTAGGGGAGGGTGGGGGGGAGGGAGAGAGATCAACCAAAGGACTTGTATGCATGCATATATGGTGTACACTGCACATATCTCTGGCTAAGACCCCTCAGATAATCTACTTTGCTGAGCTAAAATTTTGGATGTGCAAAATTTAAGGAAAGATATGATTCTATGTACTATAGTTTTATGCCTTTTACATAATTTGTCACACAATACCTCTTGTTGTAGGTGGTGTGTGTGTATAGGTGTGTGTGTTCATGTATAATGTTCTAACTATTAGAATAAAGGTTCTTAAAGGTCAGGACAATATCTTCCTTATCTTTGTAGTTCTTTTAGCACCTAAGAATCAGGTATTTAATTTAATTTAAACTCATGTTTAGCTTTTGAACCAGTAAGATAAGAATAAATCCCATTTTAATGATTATTGTAAGGAGTAAGAGAAATAAGACTCAGCATACCCAAGAGTGTGCTTAGCACATAGCAGTGCCTAAAAAGTAGGTCATTAAATAAAAGACTGAGTGGAAAAATTCACATAAAGGAAAAACACAAACGAGGCAAAATCTCCAGTGTGATGGTGACTCTGCCGTCTGCTCAAGGCCTAAACCAAGCACATCTCTCTGAGCACTTCTAAGCAGCCAAGCATGCTTACCTTGGGAGCACAGCTCAGGTTTCTGCTACAAACACACACATGAGCAACAGACTGAGAAATTTGGAAAGGAAGAAATGATAAGAAAAATATTTTTATAAATAAAACTTCAGAACTTATCTTAAATATGTTTAGAGTATAACATCTCCATATGTACAATTCACAAAAAGCTCACAACAAAGTAATGGATGACCTAACACTGTTTACTTCTAAGATGGTTCATTTCTTTTGCTTTAACTAAATGTAGTTTTGCTTGTCTTAATGTATAATAAACAAAAGTTATATATTTTCATAGTGAGATAGAAGCAGCTATGTTATTGTTATACCAAGGTAAAGAGTTATAAATGTGAATAAGTTCTTTTATTTAGTTAGGAAAGAGCTGGTGTTGTCTGGCACTATAAACAACGAAGGCTTAGCATGTATTAGTTTATAGCTGACAGATGAACAATAAATGATACGTTCATCGTTCTCCTTAAAGGAAAAAAACAAGATTTTTTTGCATAGGATTACACAATCCCAGCTGAAAACGGTGCTCTGACTGGAGATCATTAAGATCTTGTAAGAGAGGGAGGAAGCTTTTCCCGACAACATTTGATGCTTTGTCCATTACTATTAAGCAGATCATGAACTAGAAAATTTTACAGGAAATTATTATTGTTCAGGATGTTCCAGACGCTA